CACACACACACACACACACGCCGGCCCTTCGGGCCTCGCCTTCGCATCAACCATACACACACACACACAAATAGCGAGAGAGAGAGAGAGAGAGAGAGTAGGTGGTGGGGGGGTGTCATCAAGTGATGCACACAGACACACACAGAGAGAACAACAACTCACATAGAGAACTCACACAGACGAGAGAAGCCACGCTTAGGCTCGGCCCTTCGGGCCTCGTCTTCGTACGACAGAGAGAGACACGACCGGTGTGTGCAGGGGGCGGGTGGGAGGTTGCATGTGATGCACAGAGACACACACACAGAGAACACACACACATCATGCATTGGCTCCCATCTCCCCTGGTGTGTGAGATCAAAAATCGATGAAACCAACTGTGTTGTCCACTCGGGTCCCCCAATCCTCGTCCAACGGGAGCGAAGACATAGGCGGAAGCCCATGAGGCGCCTGCCAGCAATAACTACACAGGATCTCAGTCTGCAACACGCAATTCTTCGTGCAAACACGATCGGGTGGGAGCCGAGGAAAAGAAGCGCGATCGGGCTTGCAAGAAGAATCCCTCCCTCCCTCCCTCGCACCCACCCACCTGCCCCGAGCCTCAGGGAACCCGGGCCCATGAGGCGCCTGTCAGCAACAACCGCACAGACCGCACAGAGCCATACCAAACATCATTCAATGGCTACAGTCTTGAGCTGCGCCTCACCTGATAAGGAACGATGTCATCTTCCTCTCCTCATCATTCTAATCATTTACCATCCCATTCAAGGGCCCAATGCGGCACACACCCCTGCCAAAGCCAGACAGAAACAAACACTCAGAGGCACGCACACACCCCGCCCCGTGGCCAGTGTGGAAATGCGCATGCCCTGTGGCCGTCCCCGTCCTCCATGTGCATTTGTGAGAGGGTGAGCCCTCGCCGTCATGCCTGTCATGCTCGCGAGCGGCCCGTAGCAAGGGTGCCTTTGAAGGCGGCTGGCTCATGAGTGCGACGCTGTCTTGAGAGATGGGCGAATCTCAGTCTGCAACACGCAATTCTTCGTGCAAACCCGATCGGGTGGGAGCCGAGGAAAAGAAGCGCGATCGGGCTTGCAAGAAGAATCCCTCGCTCCCACCCACCCATCTGCC